AAAATCAAAAAACGACCTCTCAGCTCTTTAAAGTATCATTCCAATCATTTCAGCAAAAGTGCTACACGTGAAAATTAGAGCAAAATTGTAGGTAGAAAAGTTGTTCACAGAAAAAAAATAAACATTATTGTAAAACCAATACATTCTTTGCCCGCGAGTAACAGGGGCATGCTCACGGGGAGAATAAGGATGATATACCCCCCCCCCCTCATGAACTTTTTTTTATGCATTTGTTTGAAGTTCCTTGGTAGTTCCGGTTTTCTCGGAAAGAAAAAAGGTAGTGCATAGTTGGTTTTAATTTTTAATCACGTTAATTGTTAGCATACATATAAAATATATTTATTAGATACTATAGTAATAATAATTATCTATAGGTAATGTATAAATATTACAAAAAAAAAGTTACCAATGGACTATCATAATATTTCAGTCTATTATATTCTGATTTCTATGTTATAAACAGTGTTGAATCCAGATATACTCCAAGAGGCACGAATGCCTCCTCGAAAATTTCATTCGCCGCCCTCTTGAAAAATACAATAACTCTTGCTCAAATTGTATTCATTAAATGTACAGTACTCGTTATTCTTTCCAATTTACATCGAAATAACCAATGGAAAAAAAGTGTGCCCTCCCCAGAAAAATTCTTTGAATTCAACACTGGTTATAAACGCGACCATCGGCATATTAATATATTATTATCAATGGTATTTATAGTTATGCAGTTTTTAACTATGCTATAATACATATCCCTAATTGCTTAAATATTTTCAATAATTTCATATTTTTACGACTGAAAGTATGCATGTAATGTGTAAACGATACAAGCTTATTTGTTAACTGTAGATTATCAGTTGCTGATAAATTTACTGTAAGTTTAAACTTTATTTCAGATTAAAAAAATCAGTTCTTACTATCTACCTACACATACCATTACCTAACTTTTGTCTTTTACTGTTTAGGTACTTAAAAATATATGTAATACCATTGCCAACATTTAAGTTTTCTTTAAATGAAAAAAAAAATTTAAAATATTAGTATAAAAAATTAGGTATGCATATATAATAACATTATATAATATATATAACATATATAATACCATTATAATTAGTACTTAACTACAGCTACTCCTAAAATATTAATGTATATATCAATAAGTACATTTTGTAAATTTGTGTACATGATTATCAACAAAACAAAATACAGATCTTCCCCCGCATAGGAAAAAGCTGAGCACGCCATTGGAATCAGAATCTAAAATAGCATCGGTCCGAACTAGGTATCTGTAAAAATCTGGAATGTACATATTTTGAACGTACAATTCTTAAAAATATAAATCTGGAAAGTACAAATCTTGAAGCTAGATTTTTACGGTTATCGAAATTTAAACCGTACAAACCTGGAATGTAAAAGTCTGGAATGTACGGATCTTAAAAACTAATTGTCTACTAATCCAGTGTCAACTATTTCGAATAAAAAAAATTTACAGTATTGTGGTTTCAAGAATTGTACCTTCCAATTTGTACATTCCAGATTTTTACGCGCTCCTGTCCGAACTTAATACATAAAATGATTTTGAACCGCTGCGAGTTCTAATAAGGAGATGATCTCTTCAGCACCCGTATTTAAAATGCCGTTTTACGGCATACTGCACAGTGAAGGGATTCAAATTAATACAAATTGGGTACATGAAAATTATATTCCCAAGTCGATAAAATGATTTATGAGTGTTAGGGATACGGACCACATTATCAACACGGCAACAAAATATGAAATTAATAAATACGTCATTTTTTTTTCAATATAATAGTTTATTGAATTGTTTAAATTGTGTTTTATTACCTATATTATTATATTTAATAACTTCAGATCAATTAAATTTTAAACTATACACAATTATTATAGATGATTGATTATCAATATAGCTAAACAAAAATAAAATTCAATATGCTGGGAGCCCCTCTCATATTATTATACAACTATGTTATATACTCTGCTAAACGTTATAAAAACGATAATTTACTGTATGTACAACAAAACATACAGAGTTATTGATATTTTATCAATAACGAAACTTTCGTAACTTACCAATAAATATGTATTATTTACGGCCCAAACAGGTAGGTACAAAACAGTAAAATATTAATATCTAAGGAGTCGTTACTCGGGAGATTATGAGATCGTCAAAATTCAACGTCGTTTGTCTACTGCTATAATAATAGTATATTATAATATTATTTATGGTGTCAAAGAGTGGTCGTTAGAATTTAGTCCCATACTCGATGTCAATGAACAGATTAAATTTGATAATAAATCCATTAATAATTTTTCCAATTTGGTTATTTTTCGGTTCTGTATCAAATATATGCTCCGGGTCGTCCGATAACTAAAAGTTCGTAAACAAAAGCCTATCGAAACTATAATATTATGTAGTATACGCGTATGTTATCTCGGCTGCAGATGTTGACTAAATAATATTATATTAATATTATTTTATTATGTTCCTTCATTACTACGTAAACATAAAACGGAAGTCCCCAAAACATCAAAATATTATTATTGTTATTATTATATAGATAACTACGTGATCAAAGATCATAGTCAAAGTAGACGGATAAATCAATGAAATCCACGGTGAACCGAATCCTAATTTCTGATCCTTTGAGTGCAAAAAATACGTAAAAGGCCGATTTCTCTGAAATCTCCTAAAAGTCTTAGGTAGTTAATTAAGAAATGACAAAAAATATTTCGCATAAAGAGAAAAAAAAAATACGCCATGATACTGCTTATGAGTAGGCCGCTGTAAAAGGGGGAAAGTGGGAAGGTACAATATAGTACTATAGTATAATACATATATAGTATATAGAATAGTTATTTAATTTACATCTGCACAAAAAAATGATAAATCATTGCTGACAAGATGTGATTTTGATCAATCCCGTATCCAGGGGAGGTTTTAGGGGTTCAAACACCCTCCGAAATTTTTATAGTAGGTATATATTTATAATATAACAAAGACTAACTACAAACTCTATGTATAATTTATTTCATTAAAAATATTTTAACCCCCCCCCCCCCCCCGAAAATTGATCCTGAATACGTGCCTGATTCTGATCGAAGATTGGTTGGTTGAATGTGTTTTGAAATGCCTTGATTATTAAAATTTGAAGCTAAAGCGCTTATAAAAAAAAATGCATTAAGTTGAATATTTTTTTTACCACTAAGTACAACTTATGAATTATGATAAACATCGTATTAAATGTTCAAACATTTTGGCTGAGCCGAAATTACTTTATCCACAGACAATTAAATAAAAACTAAAAACGCCAATATTTCAAACGACTAATAATAACTCAGAAATCCCCAGAATAATTTCAAATATGATTTTTAATCGAATTATAACAAAAAACAAAATAATAGAAACTGTTATTACATGCATTTCCCTGGGTTTTCCAAATTATTTAGTAAACTACAAGGAAAATTGAAAAATGATCTCTCAAAATTTCAATATTTGATTTTAGAAAATATGCTACATTTGAAAATTAGAGTATGATTTCCTGTATAAATTTGTTCATAGATATAAAAAAAATCACACATCATTATAAAACTAATATTATAATTATTGTCTCTACGCTTATTGCATAGAATCTGAAAGATCAAATGTCAATAGAAGTGTAAAATTCATATTTAATAATTACACAAATATAATTTATATTGTTTGTGTAAATATCACATAATATTAATCTTGATTTATATTTAAATAAGTATACAAATCAATTGTTGAGTTTCTATATTTGTTTAATTTCAATAATACATTTATAATTTATATTGTGGTTATTATATTATTATTTTTTAGCTCTCTGTTATAAATGGACAAACAATAATAATGATAATAAATCTAACTTCACTTTTCATTTTTTTTTTCTTTCTTTATATCTATAGGTTGTAGTATTTTCAGAGGTTATATTATTAAAACATACAAATAAATAAGTATTATTTATTATTAAATAATTAATTAAAATAATTTAAAAAAATGTGTCTTACGCGTGGTTTTTAAAAATATATTTGAGTAATGCTTATAAATATATTGCAGAAAAAGTGTTATATGGGTATGATGGCCAGATGTACTCTTTTTTAATGCATTATCCTATGTCCTTAACAATAGTGTTCAGTACCATGCAATTGTACTCTTTTTTTTGAAAATTATAAATAATACATAAATAAATATAAATATGTATCAAACATATATTAATAAAGTTTTGTATTTATTTATTTAAATGTTTACCTTTAAAAATGTATTTAAATATGTATACTTTAGTTATACCTGTCTACTTTAAGTTGGCTTAAAATTACTTAAATTTTAAAGTATTTTTATCATAAAGACTCAACATAAATGAGTTAACGTTATGATTTCAAATAATCATTTTTATAGTTGATAATGGAAAAAATAATAATAAAGTAATCAGATAAAAAAGTGTATATAAATGGAAATAATCTAATAGCGAAATGGGTAGAATAGTATACACATTACACATTGGCCAATTCTTTCAAGGGAGAGGATTTTTACAATCGTGGACCTAAATTTTAAAATTTACCTTTTTATTGGAATTTTACATCTGGTCACCATAAATATGGTGCTGATATTCACTGTTATTTTGGATCTAACAGAAAAAATATAGGATAATACTTATCTAAAAATATTCTAGTTTATTCAGGTAGCTGTATAAAAACTTCTCAAATTAAATTATTTAAGGATACTCAGTCTAAAAATAAATATATTAATTAAGTACTACTATTTAGTAAGTAGGTATTTACAAAATAATCAACAATATTTCTATACATATTATCTTTTGTATTTTTAAGAATCATATTAGGTACTTATTTTATACAATTTTAGAGGATAATCTCAACCTTTTTATTAATTGATGTAAAAAAAAGTTGATATGATTATATTAAATTAATGAAAAATATATCCTAACAACAATTATATTATTAGTGTTCAGGATTTTTACATTTAATATTATACATCATTCATACTAAATTCTCTATCATTAATATATTACTTTTACAAATTGTACTCATTTTTACTATACATTATTATAATTTTAGCATATTCTTCAATGAATTGTCTACTTACAAAATATGGTGTAGGTCATTTCAAAATGTTATCAGAATAATAGATTTTCACTGTTCAAACAATTATTAATTTTCTAGGCGCTCTTTACTGTTATATAACGAATAAAATACATAATATAATGAAAAAACATATAAGAAGTAATTTGAAATACTCTATAATTACAAAATATTATTCATTATTTGTACAGACCACAGAATATAATACAATGATAATAATTTAATATAATGAATAATGATTATTGAATTTATTCTATAAAACACTACATATTTTGTTTCTATTATACATGCATTGTACTTTTAAATATTGTATACTATATGACATTAAGCAGATGGCTATGAGTCAAAAGATTAATAATTGTCTTTAACAAAATATTAAAATAACCAAATTAATTATTGTAATAAAAAATATCAACAAATAATGAATAATGATAATATATAAAATAATAATTTTTAAATTATAAATTCTGGATTTTTTTTTACATAAAACAAATAAATAAATTTACTTTAGCTTATTTAGAATTTACATTATAGGTAAGTGTTTAATAAATAATAGCACTTCCTATACAATTTACTTAAAAAAAGGTAGGTAGGTACTCATAAAAATATAATAAGTATAATATCATAAATTATATAATGTATAAGTGTGCAATAAACATTTTGATGTATATCACATCGAATACTTTCTTTCGGTAGTTATCTCACATTATCGAGGGAAATAATTGAAACCCTAGCTATTTAATGTTTTTCGCAATTTAAATAGTACTCACGGTCGATATTTCGGCAAATTTGTAATTTATTGTAAAACTTTAAGTGTCACCACAAGGTTTTAACTTCATTTTAATATTATATACGAATTTGTCACATCATTTTGCAATTCCCAGACTTCAGCGTGATGGCCGTGGCGCCAGAATCTGACGTCCGGCATTCGAGCGAATTGAGCGCAATTTCATCGTCTGCAATATAGTTCATTGAAGACATTATTAATAATTTATTATGAGACGATTGAATGGGTAAAACAATTATTTAAATTAATACCTAAGTTAAAATGGTGGCGATAGAAAGCTACAAAAACTTTATACTATACCTATAGGTATCATCTTTTCATTCTAATGGCATGATTACTCACTAAAAGTTTTGATTGCTATTACTATTGTAGAAAGATATAAATTATACATATTTTATAATAGATGTACAGAAACTTCACTGAGGAATCGCAAGGCATAGGAAAACCCGAACTTAGTAAAATTTAAGAGACCTATATGGCGACCAGAATTTGAAGTGAAAAAAATCCGATAACTCGTAAGATGCAATTGCCCATACAATATACAAACATGGAATATGCCACATTTGTATCCATAAATTGTAGTGCATATAAAACATGAAAATTACGCGAAACATTTTACAGCCCTGACTTGACTTAATTGACGGATTTGTATTGGTGGACTGGTTATGTGTAATATGGTTCCAGGCCTTGTGTCCTTGTGACTTAATTTTTGTTTGTTTTTTTTTTTTTTTTTTTAATATTATTTGTTTAGTAGATGTTTTTGATCCGTCATATGCAGGACGCTAGGGCTTAAAGTGGTGCTCAGAATGCCAAAAGGACTATGACACCTATTATAGTTTAGAGCATCCCATACGTTGTTGAACCATACAACATAAAATTATGAGAAATAGGTTATTCTTTCATTTGTCAAAACAAAAAAAATAAAAATGAATATTAACGAAAATTAATATTGCTTTATAATAGCATCATAATAGATAGGTTCTAATAAACAATATGAAACAAAATATCAATAGGTACAAAAATTATATTTTAAGACTTCCTTGTACGTAATAGTTTTCTTGAGGTCTATATATAGGTTACGAATTAAAATATTAGATATTATATATATTATTATACAATTAAGTAGACAATTAAAAAGCTGTCCTAGGATAATGGGGACAGGTGCAGCCACTAGATGAGAAGTTGGGAGAAATATAGGGGATATTGAATGTACGCAACGATTAACCATTGTTAACGAAAAAACGATTCTGAGCGGAGTTCAGTTGACAGTGTTGCTTTGTCTACAATATATATGTCATATTATGGAAAAATAATTAAATACAAATATGGCACACCGTAACGTTACCGATTTCATTGTTTTTAATTTTTACAAACTAATATTTCTACCAAGATTATTTTTGTAATAGAAAAACGACAAGAGACCTTTTTTCGTTGTATTTTTAATCTTGTTGGTGCTTAAGTAACTTGTTTTTTTGATTTTTTTTGCAGTTTTTTTTTAATGAAAGAACGGGAAGAAAGTATACTAGAAAGAACGGAGAAATGTACGAATATTTGATAGGAGGTGCAGTATAATTCCCACTTAGTTGTCAAAAAAAAAAAATTGAGTGTAATATTGTATTTTATTATTATTTTTATTGGTTTATAATCAAACTGATGAAAATCGTAAATATTACGGCCTTTCAATTCATGTACAACTTAACTTCGCTTCGAATCGTGTTTCGTTAGTAATGAATTATTGTCGCTTACAGATATAAATCAAATAATATCATGTATCCTACCTTCCCAACTTCTCTCCTATAACAATAAAACGCCCGTCCCTGTAGTATCAGCTCTTTTTTTTTCACTTTTTTCCGATATATATTAAATATACACCAAATTTGGCAAATTTTGCCAAACTGAGTAGTGCGATGAGAAAATTTACAGTATATAGTACATTACCTAAATATTTAAATATAATATTATGTTTTACCTTCAAGATTCTGTATCATTGTGATCGGGAATCATCCATGGATGTGCCGACGGAGTGAATGATTTTTCGATGTACTTACAAATAACGTGCATTATATATGCGAATACATATTGCCATATCGGTATAATGACATGAACATCATGATGTTTTTGCGTTTCGGTATTCTGCCAGATATAATAGAATAATTCTGATATCTGTAACGCGAGTCTGTTATTATTGTGTCAACAGAAATGTATCCTATTATTTTAGCGAATAATAATATTATAGTAAACGTAATAATAATTAATAAATAGTTTATCTAATCGGTTTGCCCAAATTCCATTGTATAGTAACAGCAGAGTAGTAGCAGTAAAGATAATATATGAATTATAAGGTGACTGAACAATATAATATTATGCTATATTATTAGTGTTATAGGTACCTATATAAGAGGCAAAAACGTAGCAAATTGCGTCATCTTCAACAACAGTTTAACGTATTAACGAGATAGGCACATAGAAATATATGTAGGTATTAACAGTTTTGGTTTTTATACCAACATAATACACCAACATATTATACTTGTTAAAAAAAAGCACGAAACAAGTTTTCGATGAAATAGTAGGTATTAATAATAGTTTGCCTACCCTACTATGAGTTACAAAATTCGTTATTGACATTAACGTCAATAATATATATAATAGATAGGTAACTAAAAGTGAAAATACACCGCCGCGTTGGTGTTGTAATAAAAAAATAAACCAGAATTTATTATAATTTAACATATAGGTACGTTTATTGATAAACTGTGGTAATAGTATCAATACTCACTTTTGAAAATTAGTTTTTATTTTAAACATTAAACACTAAGTATACAAAATGATTAATAATAGACATGATAAAACTCCGGTACCTAGTAGTTGGTACCATAACAATGGGTTCAGCTCTCAAAAATATATATTATACTTTCAAAGGTAACATTGCCAATTATATCTGATCGACTTTGTCATTCTTAAAACAAAAATAACCACAATTCACATATGTATAGCGGTTAATCGTAAGCGTGAATATAGGGGATGGCTTGGATGACTCACCTACAGTGATTACCGAATACAGTACCTACAAAATAAAACAATTCATTATAAATATACATATACAAGTTAGAGTAACATTAATTTGAAAAAAAAACAATGGTAAGCAGCTGTTCTCCATTACTATAGTCGAATTCCGACCCCCCCCCCCTATTTCGTATTATAGAAATATTTTTGTAAATAATAGATAACTGAATACAATATGAATATAATAATTCAATACCTAACTATAATTAAGTATTTTTCTTCCAAAATAATGATGATGTTTGAGCAAAAAATTGTAGTGTCTAAGTCGGAAGATCGAAATCCCCAGAAGACATGTATCTCCGATCATAACGTCATGAGTATAAAAAAATCCCATGTTTTTTTAGGCAACCTACAGGGGTGTTCAAAGCTACAAAACATCCTCGCACAGCAATATGGTAAAATTCGTATTGAAATTCAACCCAACTTTTATCACTTCAATAAAATAACTCTAATTTTCGAGTTTGAACTCATTTAGTCTAAAGATGAAAACTAAAAATTATACAAAAGTACCAAGAAAAATAAAAAAATATAACAAACATGTAGACTGCAATAGTTTCTATTTTTGGGTAAATTCGACAGAAAAATACGAACATCAACCGAACAAATAAAAATATTTTAAATATTATAAAACTCTAGAATTCAGGCACATAAAAAACATCTACACGTAGTGAAAGTTTAATATAATACAACATTAAAATTTAAATTTAATGACTAGATATATACTTATATAAATTAAAAATTAAATATTAAAATATTAATTATAAAACAATAATTCGTATATATTTGCAATAGGTAAAATACCTGATATACCTAGTGACATGGTATAAAACTATAAAATACTAAATAATTTTTCTCCTTCACATTATTAATGGATTTTAAAATTAATTTAGAAAAATAAGAGTGCCTGTATAATATGTTTCAAATAGTTCAATACGCATAAATGGAAGATGATTCAAACTTTTAAGAGATGACTCTTCATTAAATAGGTACCTATAATAATATTATCTTCCAATATTCAAATATTAACATAATTATGTGAAACAAGAATAATAATTAATAACCAATATATATGTACAAGATGTCAAGATTAATATTTTATTATTGTTAAGAATAATAAATAAATATAAATATTTATTATACTTATTAAACATCTTATGCATATAATTTCGAATATAAAATATTACTTTTAAACTAATTTTAATATACAAGAACATAAATATCATAAATATATAAATAAATAGTAAATACATATTATAATAATAATTTTGATATTATTTAAATATTTCAAATACAGGCAATATTTGTAATATTTATACAGGTGTTTGAAATTTGACTAAGTATTTTGTTTTTTCATAATTAGTTTAGCAATAATTTTTAACTATTTTCTATCGTCATAATAATGTAGGAACTTTTCTTTGATAATGTCAGTTATTTTTAGAAAATTGTTTGTCGTTTTTTTTTTTAACAATTTCTTTAATTATTTTATAATTTTAGTCATGCATTTCAAATTGTTGAAAGATTTTGGCACTCGAATGACATAATATTATATATTACTATAAACATATTGTATATACTGTAATCGGAATCCTGAAAGTGTCAAATTTAATAATACATTTTGATAAGGAATTGTGTTATTCTATTTTACTATATTTAATAACGCAGTACATTTTTTTACAACGTTTAAAAATTATACAAACGCACTAATAAATCCCTACTTAATTATAGTTTAAATGTAAGCAAACGGATACTGAATGCATTATATTTACAGTTTAATAAAATCAATTAAAAACTTACAAAAAAGAAAAATTAAATTTAAATTATTTGAAGCTATTTGAATTTTTCCTAGAATTTTGAAGTATACAATCATACATTCTAGCTTATTAATATAATCTTAAATGTAAGATAGGAAAGAGAAATATATTCATATATAATTATAAGTACCTATGTATTTTCTCAAAAAAAAAAAAAAAGAAAGAAGAAAGAAACACTAATTATTAGTACGGTCAAGTACATAACTAATTCTTGAATGTTTTTGTCAAGACGTTGAATTGGACTTATGCTGAATGATTATATAGTGACCTCGAACGTAAACAAATTTTGAACCGTATATTCCTTGAATGTAATAGTATTAAAACGATATTTATTTGAATTAAAAAACCTTGAACCGTATGTACTTACCTTAATTACTGTAATTACCTTGTGTAAGTCTTAAAATGTGTATATATAATACATATCATATATATGAATTTAGAAGATATACATTTTAAAGAATACTAAAAGTACCAAAGTAGGTACCAATAAAAATTATACACAAATATAAACGGAAGTAAACAATATAATAGGTAATAACAATTATTATTGTAATTACACAAATGCTGACTTAACTAAACAAATAAGTAATATTATGTCGATTATCATTATACTACACAAATTTGACTAAATTCAATACTATGGTTAAACAAATGTAAAATCATAAAGTATTTTGATTTCGATTTTAAAACATAAATAATATATAATAATAATTTATTCTATAATTCTATAATTTGTCTGGTATAGGTAAAATATCATAAGATATGATAAACATAAAAATATCCAATAAGTGAAATATTGCACAATATTGTTTTTAGAAGAATTCAAAGTAAATTTGAAACCAATATTAATTTTTATGAACATCTGCACTGACCCTAATGTACTTAGCCACACAGTATGCCATACATAGTAGAACTCACTCTATAAGAATCATCTCTCGCACGACATACACGACATACATGTATTGTCTTGTGCAATATCCTGTAATCTCCTATACACCGTAAATCTCTGAAAGAATTGACAGAATATGTTGAAAATCATTCTCTCCCTATCTATTAAGACATTATTCACAATATTAGTCTCACATTGATAAAAAAAAAAAAAACACGATTAGGTAGTATGGTTGCCTTACGTCCTAGGAAAATTCGTCCATCTAAATAACTACTAGCACTCGTGTGATCGTGTTAGAAAATACTCAATTATTCGCACATTCGATCTATGACCTAAGTGATATATATGACAATATCTTAATTTCTTAACTCGGTATTATTTTATACAGTCATACGAGCGCTAGCCACCAAGATTCCAGCTGAATTTTGATTAGTAAACCAGTAAATTTATTGCCCGTAGAAAACCTTAAAAAATGCATTTAAAAACTCAAAATGTATGATGAAAAATTCACTTTTTTAAATATTTAGAAAATTATAATTTTTTTTATAAAATTGGAAAATATATCGTTTTATTCGTAAGATGAATTTTTTGACACCTACAATATGCTTGTCTCTTCTGATATGCTAGTTTATTGTATATTTTTTTTCGATTGAAACTTTCACATCATATATTTTGCAATACAATATTTTACTATCAGTAAAAAAAATATCTACGCTAAATTCAGTGATGTACTTTCGCGAATTTCACGATTAAGACGATTTTGATTTGAACATTTTATTGTTTGCATTTCACTATTATACACTCGTAAATGCCGAATAGGTACGAAAATGCCTATATTGTTTAACAGTTTACAGACACCTAAGATTATAGATAATACTACCTAGATATAATAGACAAATTTAACCCTTATTGTTGTCTTATCTTATCACATCGTGACAAACCGAACCTCGTACTTGCATGAGTTATATACTTATACAGCTTGGATTGCTTGGATATTATTTATAAAACATAAAATATACATATTAAAATACACATTTTACAGCCTACGTAAAATAAAAAATAGCTGATGCTGGGGATGAGAGCGACCACAGTTATAGGTGAGTAGTTGGGAAGGTGGAATACATATAGTAATTTAATGTACCTATACCTTCAACCAATAATAAGCCAATACTAACGAAAATCGATTTAAAGCTAAGTTGTATTATAAATGTTTTGAAAGGCCGAAATATTTACGATATTCGTCAAAATTTGATTTTATAAAATAAAATAAATACTACATTACACTAATTTTTTTTTTTTTAACACTTAGTAAGACTATATAATGAACCTTCTGTCAAATTTTCAAGCATTTCTGTTAAGTCTAACAATTTATTTACAGAGTACCAATCAAATAAAAATTACGTACCAAATTGGCAAAATTAAAATATCTAAAAATAGTTCAAAAGTTGTTCAAATGATCTGAAAGTTTTACCACGTCTATAAAAAGTAAAAAATAAGTT